GCGAGACAGACTGCTGCCGTATGCGACAGGCAACAATAAACTACAGAAAAACTCAAAACCTGATCGCTGTATTTAAGAATTGCATTAATATTTAAGCTTACCTTTTAACAGTTTAACGATAAATTATTCTACCGTCAATTTAAAGACAATTTGAAGAATTGCATTAATATTTAAGGTTACCTTTTAAAATTTTAACGATATTTCTTCTGCCGCCACTTAATTTAAAGACAATTTGATGTACGTAGGTCCTTACTTTGCGTAAAAATAATTTTGTGTTGTGTAATTAATGTAACGCATAGTATATATTATTAAGCTTATCAGTCAATATGAAAGGAACTTAAAATAAATCGACAAAACTTGTCTATATTATTTAATGAAACATGCATTAATGAAAAATTGCTGCCTAAATATACATAAAAACTGGCCGAATGTTCTTTTTATCCCAGCGCTTTTTCATTTTCATTCTAACAGTTAAAATATTTAATCATTGAAAATGTCTAAATGTATATAAAAAAATGTGCATGAAAGAAGGATTGCTGACTAAATGCACAAATTTTAAAATATATATATATATATATATATATATATATATATATATATATATATAAGTTTAAAAGCCGTCCGGTAGTGCGTCTTTTAAGCTAGCTCCTGCGGAGAGCTCTTGATTGGGCCTTCAGCTAGTTCAGTCTTTGTATATTCTCAGCATTCATTTGCAGGGAACTTTCTTTTCCCCACTGCAACCATGGCTCTTTTGATTGCAATCTGGCCCTCCGTTGCCGGAGATTTCTTTTTGCGAGGCAGACTGCTGCCGTATGCGACAGGCAACAATAAACTACAGAAAAACTCAAAAACTGATCGCTGTATTTAAGTATTTCATTAATATTTAAGCTTACCTTTTAACAGTTTAACGATAATTCTTCTACCGTCAATTTAAAGACAATTTGATGCACGTAGGCCCTTACTTTCCGTACAAAAAATTATTTTTATTTCATAGGTGACTTTCTCCGGATTTCGTAATTAATTTCCATTATTCCCAAATTAGATAATTATTCCAAGTTATAAAAATTGTTATCAAGCAAAAAGATTCGACGTAAAAATCGCGTAAAAAAAAAAAAAATCGCCGAAAACAATTGCGGTAATGAAAACTTGAGAATCCAAAATTTCAGGATTGTGGGTCCGGAATGTTCCAATTTCCTCAAGGAGTCGGCCTGATTCCAAAATGGTATAATATGTTCGGCTATGGCCTCTAGGAGTAAAGTTGAAAATTGTGACACACCGACATTCGCATTTATTTATTAGGTTGGTGCAAAATAATGACGTAATAATGTCGTTTTTGACGTTAAAAAATGCGTCAAAAAATGACATTATTACGTCATTATTTTGCACCAACCTAATATCTATGTAGGTGCTTACTTTCCGTATAAACAATTATTTTTATTTCATGGGTGACTTTATTTATATAGAATACCTTACATTACATCACTTAGCTTTTTCCATAGTTTACCTTGCCTTACACAGAGTTAAGAATATTTAAAGGGCGTTCATTGTGTATCAACATTTCTTTAACTTCTATAGGCTAATAATTCCCATCTCTATTCATAAATAAAAGATTTATTTGACAGAATTTGAATTAGCTTTTTTGATTTGAAATTTATAATTCATATTTAGTGCCTTTACTGTTTCTAGGAGATTCAATGAATACTGAATGTTTCCTTATAAGGAAATGGCTAATATTACCATTACCATCTGTCTACACTGTGTGCCAAATTATTATTGAGATAACTTTTTTTCTAATATTTCAAAAACCGTCTAATCAATTCACACAAAATGTTCACACAATATTGGCAACACTGACCTGCGCAATCACTGAAATTTTCGTACTGATCTGCGCAATGTAAACAAACTGGCGATATTAATTTGGCACGCAGTGTATACATCTAACTACTACAAGTTGTTTTGAAAAAAAAATAAAGTTCTACATTAAATGACCCATTGGTTGATATACTGTAAAACGAACAAAACAAAACGAATTTCTAAATTTCAACTGAATGTAGTACATTGCTATTCATAGTAATAAGATTTATTTGGCAGAATTTGAATTCTAAAAAATGAAAAAGCGAAATTAACTGTTAAAATAAACAACCTCTATAAATTTGCCATTAAGACATACGATTGCATTTAAAATATTTAGATTATGACATTAAATAACCCATAACGAGAGTAGTAGATCTTTATTTGCTGTTAAAAGATTTATGTGATAGAATCTGTCGCAAAAAAATCACGTAAAAATGTCGCCGAAAACAATCGCAGTAATTAAAACTTGGGAATTCAAAATTTCAGGATGTTTTTAATTTGCTCACAGAGGCGACCTGATTCCCAAATAGTATATGTTGGGCTACGTCCTCTAGGAGTAAAGTTGAAAAAGTGTGACACACTGACATTTGCATTTATTTATATAGATTACATGACATCACATCACTTAGCTTTTTCCATAGTTTACCTTTCCTTAAACCGGATTCAGGATCTTAAAGAGAGTTCATTTTGTAGCAACATTTCTTTAACTTCTATACGCTAATAATTCCCATCTCTATTCGTAAATATAAGATTTATTTGACAGAATTTGAATTAGCTTCTTTGATTGGAAATTTATAATTCATATTGAGTGCCTTTACTGTCTCGAGGCAATTCAATAAATATTAAATGTTTCCTTACAAGGAAATGGCTAATATTACCATTGATATTTATCTATGTATCTAAATACTACAGGTTGTTCTGAAAAAGAAAACATTAATTTCTACATTAAATGACCCATTGGGTTGATATACTGTAAAACGAACAAAACAAAACGAATTTCTAAATTTCAACTGAATGTAGTACATTGCTATTCACAGTAATAAGATTTATTTGGCAGAATTTGAAGTCTAAAAAAACGAAGAAGCGAAATAACTATTAAAATAAACAAACTTTATAAATTTATTTGTGGTTGAAGACGTACAATTGCATTCAAAATATTTAGATTATGGCATTAAATAACCTACAACGGTTGATACGCCGCGAACCAAAATTAACCACTGAACCAAGATGTATTTCCTGAAAAACTTCTTTAAGAGAAAGTTTTTATAAATTTCAGCCGACAGTAATTCAATCTGCACGGTCAATGAATGTCGAATGTTTCCTTATACGGAAAAGGCTAGTATTACGATTGCCATGGATAAATGGGATTTATTTCTATTAATCCTATTTTGTTTCTGTTTTCTATGCATATTTAGTTATTATGAATCTGTGTACAGTTAATTATACGAAAAATATGCATTAGTTGTAAATACAATAAATTAAAAATTTGTATGTGTACGAATATGTTACCCCCACTATATATATATAAAAAAAAAAAAAAAATTCAGTTATCTGTTCTGAATAAGACTTGTTTTTTTATGTCCATCGTATTTGTCATATTGAACTGAATTGTATTTTGATGAATATTGTCTTGAAAAAGGTTTATTAAACCGAAACGTCAGACGTCGACATTTCTTTCATTTTAACTACATTTAAGGATTTTTGTTTGTTTTTTCAAAATTTCTTCATTCTGTCGGATTTATATCCATTTACACTTGCTTATATATATATATACATATATATATATATATATATATATATATATATATATATATGTATTATTTATATATATATATATATACATTCAACATCATCACTTGATAAGACACCAGAAGTGTTCAAACAAAATGGCTATTTTTGTAGTGATTTTATAACATTTTTACGTTATAATTTTAGATAAATGATTATATATATATATATATATATATATAATTATGAGAAAGATTTATAAATCTCAAGCGAAGCTAGTACTTCTCTAAACAGTGAATGCTAATGTTTCTTATCGTTGTAAGTAGTCCAATAGTGTTATAAAAACCTCCGAGAATTCCAGTAAGACATCTTTAATCAATTATAAGAGCTTAATCTAATAATCGGACAATTTTGCTGTTACACGATTTGGACAATTTTGCTGTTACACCCGGTATATATATATATATTTCAGAGAAAGATTTTATAAATCTCAAACGAAGATAATACTGTCCGATCATTGAATGCTAATGTTTCTCATCGGTGAAAGTAGAGTCCAATAATGATAAAAAAAAAAAAAACTTCGGAGAATTCCAGTAAGATATCTTTAATCAATTCCCAGAGCTTAATGTAATAATCAGACGATTTTGCTGTTACACGATTTGGACAATTTTGCTGTTACACCGGTGTATATATACATATATATATATATATATATATATATATATATATATATATATATATATATATATATATATATATAATTAAAAGAAAGAATTTATAAATCTCCATAAGCCATAAATATATAAAGCGTGGCACTCATACCGAAATGTTTTGTGGTCTCAAGACCAACAGACTTTTCAATGTAAAATAGAATTTCTGAAAAACTATATTAGATTATGTAGCAACATGTCTTTCTACTTCTGTGGACTAATGATTCCCATCTTTATTCGCGCTTATGAGATTTATTTGACAGAATTTGAATTATAAAACTTGAAGAAGCGAAATTAACTGTCAAATGAAACAGCTGCCATTTCTCTTAAGAGGCCAAACTCTTCGATCAACCCTTATAAATGCTGATCGTTGATGAATGTTAAAATATTAAACCATAAATAGAAACGCCATTATGAATGCGTAAAACGGCTTAAGAGTAGACTTCATCTGTTGTCTTACAGAAGACTAAACGCTAGAGAAAGAATTTTAAAATCTTTAGCCACGTATAGAATTACTATTAAAAGCGTGTTCAACTCCTTAAAAGGAAACGTTATCTGCCATCTTTTTTTTTCAAATCATTTCACCCGAAGTAAGGCGATAAAGTCACTAAGATATAACGAAGCATTTAACGTGAAAAGAATACTGAAGAATATTTATTGGAGAAAAAGACAATAAAAGAACAAGTTTAAGAAAAAAGGGCAGGAGGCTTATGGCCATATCACTCTTAAACACTGTTTCCTGTACTATCACCGAAGTTAAACAGCGTCGACCGTGGTCAGTACCTAAATGAGAGACCGCTTGGGAAAATCAGGTGCTGTAGGCTTGGATGTGCGGCTGATATAATAGGCTTACAGCAATATCAGGTTGAAATATCGTTTCCTGTACAATCACCGAAGTTAAGCAACGTCGTGTCTGGTTAGTACCTAGATGGGTGACCGCCCGGGAATACCGCGTGTTGTAGATTTGGATTTGTGTGTTTGTCCAACTGTTAAGCCTAAGGAAATATAGGGTGTTACAATAACTTGGACCGATTTTAAACGTGAATTAAGTTTAAGCGTCTAATAATTTTTTTCTTTTTCTTTCAGGTTTACAAACTTAAATCTTTGGCAATTCTAACTATAGAAAAATTAACAATCGAGCAACGTGTTAAAGTTATCGAAGCCTATTACGAAAATGGACGTTCAAACAGACATGTATTTAGCACATTTCGCGATTTTTTTGGTCAACATAATCGACCAACCGAGAGTGCAAATGGAAATATTGTTCGTAAATTCAAACAATCTGGGTCGGCGACAGATGTGAAAACGCCACTGCGTGCTTGTTTATGCTGTTCAGCAGAAAACATTGCTGCAGTGCACGAGAATGTGGCCGAAAATCCAGACCCCACTATTCGTCATCGCGAGCCGAAATTTAACCTCTCAACAACAAAGTTACATCGAATTTTGACAAAAGATTTGTCTCTGCACGCTTACAAAATTCAATTGACACAAGAACTGAAGCCTGCTGACTATTTGGAGAGCCGTACATTCGTCAACGGGGTGTAAGAGCAAAGAAGAGCAATGAAGATTTTTCGCAAAAAAATATCCTCTTTAGTGATGAAGCCTATTTTGGTCTTGGTGGATTGTTTAATAAGCAGAATTCTCGTATTTGGGCTGATGAAAATCCAAGGAAGATTGTTGAAAAGCCACTGCATCCATAAAAGGTTTGGTGTACATTTTTTGCTAGCGGAATCATTGGGCCGTATATTTAGAAATTTGAACGTCCATTTTCGTAATAGGCTTCGATGACTTTAGCACGTGGTTTGACAGTTAATCTTTCCATGGTTGAAATTACCAAAGACTTAAGTTGTTAAATCCGAAAGAAAAAGAAAAAAAATCATTAGAAGCTTAAACTTAATTCACATTTAAAATTGGTCCAAGTTATTGGAACACCGTGTATCTCTCTCTCTCTCTCTCTCTCTCTCTCTCTATATATATATATATATATATATATATATATATATATATATATATACATATTTGTATGGATATATAAAAAAAAAAAGCACAGTAAGATATATAATCCGGTGTTCTTGTTATTTTTATTTTATTTTTACAAAATAGTGCTCAATGTAAATTTACAGAGCATGAATATTATAAATTAACTGATTTTAATTTAATTTAATTTTATAATTAAATTTAAAGTTTTAGCTTCCATTTTTGAAACATGGTTATTACTGTGCAGCGAAAAAACCATATTTTAAATCAATTAATTTATATATATATATATATATATATATATATATATATATATATATATATATATATATATGTATATAAACTGTTAAGATTAAGGAAATATCAATAAATTTAGTCATATAAAAAATATTACGGTGCCTGTTTAAATGAAATTTACACGTTCGGCTTTAAATCTCAAATTTTTGAATATAACTATTTTCTTCTCCATTGTCAATTTGCTTGGAAATGAACTTTATAAATACTTGATTATTTCTTTGTAATTTACAAGTAAACAAAATAAAACAAACTTATTTATAATGATAACAACAGCCAATTTGTAAACGAGAAACAAAATATGTCATATTTCTTTTTTTTTTTTTTTAAATCATATCATTCTAATTACAAGCAGGATTTATTCATTGATAACACAAGTTTTTATTCCTGTCGTAAAAGTATATCTGAGCGGTTCGATGAAGTCAAATTGGCGGCTTTTGTTTTTACAGTAAGGTTCAACCTGTACGAGGCCCGTGTGCCACTCGAGGTAGTGGTAAGAGTAGTCTATATGGATATGAAGGGAGGTAACAAGGTTAAGACTGTAGTGATCGGGGAAACATCAAAACATTATGAACGTATAATCATAGATTTTGATAGTAAAAATACCATCAATAAATTTTTGAAAAAATAAAATTTATCAGCAATACTTTTGACTCTCGACAAAAATCCTCTGTACCAAAATACATCAATGAAACCTGATCTACAAATTGATTTCTTACAACGAATACATATTCTATTCATACGAACCTATCCTTAAAATCTTGTCGGCATTAAATAACGTATTGAGGTTGTTAAGCCGTAAATCAAAATAAACGCAAACCCTGATCTACAAATTGATTTCTTGCAAAGAATACATATTCTATTCATACGAACCTATCCTAAAAATCTTGTCGGAATTTAAAAACCTGATGAGGTTGATAAGCCGTAAAACAAAATCAACGAAACCTAAGAAAGATTTCAAATAAAAGTTTATCATTTAAATTTTATTTACTTTATATATAAACTCAGCGTTTGTGTGTCTGTCCAAGGAACTCTTAAGACTAAAGAAAGATAAATAAAATTACTCGTGTGAAAATATTACGATTCCTGTTTAATGAAATTTATACGTTCAGTTTTATATCTCAAATTTTTTAACATAACTGTTTTCGTCTGCATTTTCAATTTGCTTGGAAATGAAATTTATAAATATTTGATTATTTCTTTGTAATTTACAAGTAAACAAAAAAAACTTATTTATAATGATAGCAACAACTAACTTGCAAACGAGAAACCAAAGTCATATTTCTTTTTTTTTTAATCAGATCATTCTAATTAGAAGCAGGATTTATTCATTGATGACACAAGTTTTTATTCCCGTCGTAAAAGTATATCTGAGCGATTCGATGAGGTCAAATTGGCAGCTTTTGTTTTTATAATAAGGTTCACCCTGTACAAAGCCCGTGTGCCACTCGAGGTAGTGTTTAAGCGTAGTCTATATAGATAGGAAGGGAGATAACAAGGTTATGACTGTAGTGATCGTGGAAACATCAAACTATTATGGACGTATAATCATAGGTTTTTATAGTAAAAATACCATCAATAAATTTTTGAAGAAATAACATTTATCAGCAATACGTCTTTGAAAAAAAATGAGTTACCGGCAATACACAAAGATCCTCTTTAAAAGATACATTACTGAAACCATGGTCCAATCGAGGTTAGCTTGTAGTGATCGGAGAAACATCATCTTAAGAGTCGGTTCCACAGGAGAGTAGCCCACGGCATGAAGCTGCTCGAGTGGAACTTACTTCTCGCCGATGGAATATGGGGGGAATGTGGCCGATTTGATACTAAGGAAGTTGCATGGCGGGTCCTAACCGTGAAGTTTAGACCTGGCTGAATCAAGGAATATAGTTCGTCCGAGCACTTTCCATGGAAGTAGTGACAGAGTAGTTAGAGACTCGCCACATCCCGCCTGTGGGGGAGAGGCTGGAGGGTAGAAAATAATTCTTCTGTAAGAGGGACTCAGAGACGCTTTTGATAGGAGTGCCAGAGAAAAGCGATAATAACAACAAAAATTGCAATATGATCTCTGGTAAAAACATGAAATGGTAACAGCAAAAATGGCAATATGAGCACTGGTAAAAAATAATGCTGATGACATTAGGTTTATTATCCCCAGAAATTCATACACAGATGTCCTCAAAGACACTTGGTACAGTGGATAAAGGCTTTGGTTAGTAACAGGACCCAAAGAGTGTAAGTTCAATACCCGGTTAAGGGGAATTAACAGGAGATAACTGATAACTGACATCCATTAAACACGGCACGTGGAACTAGAAAAGTCTACTCCAGTGAGCGAAATAAAGGGTTCAGTTCGACATTCCAGCCACCGGAAGAAGGCCGGAGTGTACAACGGCTGAAACATTGTGATAAATATGGCGACAAAGATGAGGACAATAGTCCGAATAATGTAAATAGTGTACATAATACCTCATCTCAGAAATATAAACAGATACTGAAAGGCCGAAACGTTGTGATAAATATGACGACAAAGATGAGGACAGTAGTCCGAATAATGTAAATAGTGTACATAATACCTCATCTCAGAAATATAGACAGATACTGAAGGGCAGAAACGTTGTAATAAATATGGTGACAAAGATGAGGACAATAGTCCGAATAATGTAAATAGTGTACATAATACCTCATCTCAGAAATATAGACATATACTGAATGGTCGAAACGTTGTAATAAATATGACGACAAAGATGAGGCCAGTAGTCCGAATTATGTAAATAGTGTACATAATACCTCATCTCAGAAATATAGACATATACTGAATGGTCAAAACGTTGTAATAAATATGACGACAAAGATGAGGACAATAGTCCGAATAATGTAAATAGTGTACATAATACCTCATCTCAGAAATATAGACATATACTGAATGGTCAAAACGTTGTAATAAATATGACGACAAAGATGAGGACAATAGTCCGAATAATGTAAATAGTGTACATAATACCTCATCTCAGAAATATAGACATATACTGAATGGTCGAAACGTTGTAATAAATATGACGACAAAGATGAGGACAGTAGTCCGAATAATGTAAATAGTGTACATAATACCTCATCTCAGAAATATAGACAGATACTGAAGCGCCGAAACGTTGTAATAAATATGGCGACAAAGATGAGGACAATAGTCCGAATAATGTAAATAGTGTACATAATACCCCATCTCAGAAATATAGACAGATACTGAATGGTCAAAACGTTGTAATAAATATGACGACAAAGATGAGGACAATAGTCCGAATAATGTAAATAGTGTACATAATACCTCATCTCAGAAATATAGACAGATACTGAAGCGCCGAAACGTTGTAATAAATATGGCGACAAAGATGAGGACAATAGTCCGAATAATTTAAATAGTGTACATAATACCTCATCTCAGAAATATAGACAGATACTGAATGGTCGAAACGTTGTAATAAATATGGCAACAAAGATGAGGACAGTAGTCCGAATAATGTAAATAGTCTACATAATACCTCATCTCAAAAATATAGACAGATACAGAACCTAAATAGTGTATATAATGATAACTTCTCGTTCGAGAATTTTTTCTTCTGCATACGAAGAGAGGGCTGGAAGTAGATATAATTTTATGGCGCTAAGTAACGATTGAGAAAAATAAAAG